GTCCATCTGTATCATCTCTGTCTCCCTATCAGCTTACCTTACTATTGTCCTGCTTATTACGACGAAGACAAACACGCTCCGCTGTCTGCCACACGCATATGGAGATCTTAACCGCGGCAGTGCAACATGAAAAAAATTCTCCTTCACGAGCTATCCCCGTGCTTCTCTTGCTCCGGTATGTACCTTCGCTTCCTCTACACATAGATCACGCTCTCCCCCTGCTTTGAACACAGTCGTCTTGAGCTTGGGCCAGGTGGTATCGAAGCGATGCACCTCGACCAGCAGACGATAGGTCACGAGTGCCAACCCTGCAAACACGGTGGGTCTTATAAAGTACCAGCACGCGGGTGGTCCTCCGATGCTCTCGCTCGCTCACGCGTGCTCGAGATGGATATCCCCCTCATCTGCGACCAGCGATGACTAAATGGGACTGTTCTAGCGCCGAAGTCACCTTGGGATAGTTTCTCATGCCCAAGTTTTCTATTCTGACCAGAGAGAATGTTATATACACACACTGTCTATCCTCTGAGGAGCTATGCAGCCGAACCGCCACTGAATACAATGTTCCTCTCAGTGGGAAGGACGCATTAGTTGACCGTGAAGAACCTGGCAGTCCATCCTGTTTGTGCGAGAGCTTTGGGATCCGGTCACGCAACCACGTCTAACATACAATGAACGACCTGCGGTACAATATCATACATCATGGTTCAGGGGTGTTATATCATGTCATTACTGTAACAACACGCACAAATGTCTTATGGTCTTTATGATGATCTGTCACAGAGTATCTTCGTGGAGCGTGTGAATGCATACAAAGCTTGCAAATGACAGAACATCGGACATGAAGGAGAGGACTAGAAAGAGAATGACACAACACCAAGTACATCTTAGAATCCTCCCGTCTATTTCTTCTTCGAACCCTTCTCAGCAGACTTGGTGACCTTGCCCTTGCCACCTTCGGTCTTCTCCACGGACTTGATGATACCGACAGCAACGGTCTGCCTCATATCACGCACTGCGAACCGACCAAGAGGGGGATATTCATTGTAGGACTCGACGCACATTGGCTTGGAAGGAACAAGCTTCACGATAGCAGCATCACCGGACTTGACGAACTTCGGGTTGGCTTCCATGGTCTTACCAGTCCGACGGTCGATCTTCTCGACCAGCTCGGCGAACCTACAAGCAATGTGGGCGGTGTGGCAGTCGAGCACAGGTGCGTAGCCGGCACCAATTTGACCGGGGTGGTTGAGGACGATGACCTGGGCGTTGAAAGATGCAGCCTCCTTAGCGGGATCGTTTTTGGAATCAGAAGCGACGTTCCCCCGACGGATATCCTTGACCGAGACGTTCTTAACGTTGAAGCCGACGTTGTCGCCAGGGACACCCTCAACAAGCTGCTCATGATGCATCTCGACGGACTTGACTTCGGTGGTGACATTGGAAGGAGCGAAGTTAACGATCATACCGGCCTTGATGACACCAGTCTCAACACGGCCAACTGGTACGGTTCCAATACCACCAATCTTGTACACATCCTGGAGGGGAAGACGGAGGGGCTTGTCAGATGGCCGAACCGGGGGCTCAATTGCATCAATGGCGTCAAGCAGGGTCTTGCCCTTAACGACACCAGCCTTCGTCTCCTTGGTCCAGCCCTTGTACCATGGCATGTTGCTGGATTCCTCGAGCATGTTATCGCCGTGCCAGCCGGAGATGGGAACGAAGGGAACAGCCTTGGGGTTGTAACCGACCTTCTTGATGAAGGTAGACGTCTCCTTGATGATTTCCTCAAAGCGAGACTCGGACCACTTCGTGGTGTCCATCTTGTTCACAGCGACGATGAGTTGACGCACACCGAGAGTGAAGGCAAGGAGGGCGTGCTCGCGAGTCTGGCCGTCCTTGGAGATACCAGCTTCGAACTCGCCCGTACCAGCGGCAATGATGAGAATAGCGCAATCAGCCTGGGAAGTACCAGTGATCATGTTCTTAATGAAATCACGGTGACCTGGGGCATCGATGACAGTGACCATGAACTTGGGGGTCTCGAACTTCCACAGGGCAATATCGATCGTGATACCACGCTCACGCTCCGCTTTAAGCTTGTCGAGCACCCATGCTATCTGACATCAGTCCCATGCTATCGGTACAGTACCAGGAGACTTCAACTCACCGTACTTGAAGGAGCCCTTGCCGAGTTCGGCGGCTTCCTTCTCGAACTTCTCGATGGTACGCTTGTCGATACCACCGCACTTGTAGATCAGGTGACCGGTAGTGGTCGACTTTCCAGAGTCCACGTGGCCGATGACGACGACGTTCACATGGGTTTTATCCTTTCCCATTTTGATTTCTACACCAGCGCATGTTAATTATGGCTTCCATGGGTAGATAACACGCATTCGTGGAAACGTAGAATGTTCGCCTGGGTGTTCTTACAGCGCTGTATTGTGCGATCGATGGCAACATAGGTCTCTTGCTTGGAAAGCAAGATACATCCTGATAACGGCCATGGCCATCCATCGAAAGATACGCCCGGCCGACGACGTAGACGAGCAGGATGACTGAGTATAGATATAGGCTACTCACAATTCGTAAGAAAACGTGAGGTGAGATGTAGAGAAAGGAAGTTGTGGGAGCAGAGGGTGAAGGGGAGAGGGAGTGGAGGGGTTTTGCACGGATGATGTGGCAACCTGGAAGGGGGAGCTCGCACGGTGGTCTCGGACCTATTTATTGCCTCCCGCTGTGCTGAACTCATCGCCTCATTGGCCCCTTCCCTCTCCACCTTCCCTGCAATTTTCACCTCATTGAGTCACAGACCGTGCCAAAATTTTACTTTTGTGACCCCACTCTTCCCCCTTATTCTCGCTTAATCTGTGTGTTTGGTTTGCGATCAGAATCTTCGAGCAGGACTGTTCCCTCGCACCAAGATCAGCACCCATACAAGGTGGTACTACAGAATTACTTCCACAACTCCGTTCAAGTGGGCACTCGGAAAGTGCCAGAAGGGGCCAGCCCAAACTCAGAACGTGCATCTTGACGGTTGACTGAGTCCTACGCTGTTCAACGCCGGATCACAACTCTTCTAACCACCTTTGAAAATTTGGTCCCGCTCCAGACCCACGTATTCTTTCTCGGTTATGCCAGGAGCTGCCTGCCGAGCTCAGGCCGAAGTTACCCGTCACCCTTCACCGTCTTATGCATGGCTGATAGTGGAAAATGAATTTCATGCTTTGATTGATACTCACGATGACTAGGCTCAACACTGCCAAGTGTGGATATGGAAGCTTCCAGCAGTTTAAAGAGACAGCCGAAAACAAGGGGTTTGGGAGAGTTTGCACGTAAGCTCAGCGTTTCAGGCTTGGAAGTCCTGGTTCGGATCCTGCAAGAAAGAGATACTGATCTTGTGAGAAGGGGCCTGGCGGAGGATTGGCATGACTCGACCATGTTGCATGTGCTTCCTGACAAAGTGCGCATAACACGTTGTCCGGCCCAAATATTGTCCCCGTCAAGCATAGGGGAGACGATGATGAAACGTCCCTGACCATCCCGACCCTTATGTCAAATGATTAATCATTATTGTCCCCCTTCACCCCTTCGCACACTCTCAGCTTGATAAAGATCTTCTTGGATTGGGACGAACAGAAAAAGAATGGAAGGATACATATATATTGCACGTCACGGTACGATGACCTGGATCTGTCCTATCCTCCCTCCTCAAAATAACCAGGCTTTCGTCTCAGTTGGATCACCCAAACATGGTTAGTTTCATGTTGCAAACATGTTCCAGCTCCCTTCTATGTATCTGATTCTTCTCGTGGATAGGAAGAGCCCCACAGCAACTCCTCGTGATCCGCCATTAGCAGCCTACGGACATGTGGGCGTTGATTAGATTTGTATTGTTCACCCGTCCGACCGCACGCTTTGAAACAGGATCAAACGAAGGAAATGACCGCTTACTTTCTTGCCTTACCCGCACATGAACGGCCGACAGTGATATATTCGTCACCCTATTGTAAGAACTTCAAGCTGATGGCCGCGCAGAGTCTGAGTGAACCTTGGTAGATCGGTGTCTCCAGACAGCTAATCCTGTCGCAGACGCTCTCAACATCCCGTTGTACGTGGAACACGGTCTGTGCCTTCGCTGGACATGGAAATATGTCTGATTCTGGTGCTAGGCTTATCCGAGTGGTACATGCGTGTAAAGCCGAACACAGGCTTGCTCCCTCGGCCTCATCACGCTTCATCATTGAAGGAGCATTTTCCAAACATTGATGACAGTAGGCAGAGTGTGTATCTGCCCTCTCGTAAAGGCGAAGACATCCCGGAAGTGCATAGACGAGCCGATGAAACTCTCAAGGCGCTGCTCCACACCGCCAACTCGCCCAGGATGCTCCTAGTAACACACGCGGCAACGGCAATTGCACTTATCCGAGGATTGGCAAGAGATCCCGATCTGCCCGTCCGAGTTGGATGTTGCACCATTACAACGTTTCGCCGACACGGGGTAATAAACTGGCATCCCATTGGTGACTTGGCGTCAGCGGCTCACCTCTCAAATGGTGTTGAGAGAGACTGGGGCTTTGAAGACGTGTCTCTTTTCAACGGTGAGGTTGTTGAAGACGAAGGCGAAGGGGAGGGACCCGATACCGATCAAGGTCCAGTTGGACTGATGATCGATTTGCCGATGCAAGTGACTGAAATTTCCCCTCGTCTATGAGGATGACACGCAGTTGCACACATGTGATGTACTCTCCGTAACCTTGTCGTCACACGACATCGTGCACGTCGTCTGGGCTTTATGGACCGCACAACATGCGCCCAGTGTTTATCAATGGGGTAGTCTGGAGTGGAGGACGGCACGTTTCCGAAAGCAATGTCTAAGCGCACACAGACCTGGCCAAAGTTAGGTCAGAACTCCACAGCCGCGGCAACTGAATTCATCTGAGAAATCACGCTTGTTGACAGAAGAAGACTCGTTTCAACGCTTTGAACTCACACTGCGCCTCGCATTCATTGACATGGGCACAAACCGAGAGGAGGGGTCCTTTGGTTTTTACCCCTGCTGTCTGATGCGTCCTGTGCCTTCTTCACTCCACCATTACACGAGCGCACTTAAATGTTTGAGGATCAAATCAGAAACGCGTCATCAAGATAACACGGGGACATACACGATTCCGCCTGGTTTATATGCTCTTCCACCGCGCGAACTGATTCCCATGCAAACCTTTCACAGTACCTCACAGTGACAACTGGTATCGGTCAGCCCCATGACTTGGTTCATGGATAATGATACAGTACTGGGCGAGCACGCTCTCTCAGCTCTTGTGAACCGATTCAGGAAATCACAGCGAGCGTGTTCCTGATAAGTGCAGGAACATGTAGGATGACGACGGAGATAAAGATGATCGGAGATT